CTTCTTCACCCCCTCTTTTCCGTCTCCATAATGTATCTCTCTGTACCCACACTCAAGCTTCTTTCATCCTTCTCTCTCTCATTCCTATTCTCTCTCTTTTTCCTCGACTTCTCCATTTCCCATCCCTCCATCTTCTTCTCTTTTGGGCGGGATATTTCCCCTCCATTTTTTAAACGAAAAAGAGGATCAGTCCCCCTATTTCAAGAGGCTCACCTCCCTTATTTATCTCTCCCTTCTTCCAAGCACACCCTAAAACTACAGCTTCTCTCTCCACATTTTCTCAAACCCTAACCTCCTTTTCTACAAACCAAACCTTAATCTTCCATCATCAACCCATAAGACCTTGCAACCATGGATTTATTGCATCACCAGAAGGGTAGCAACACCGATCTTGGTGCCGACACACTCAGGTAAACTTCTCACCCTCCTTTGCCAATTCATGTACTCAGGTTCACGGATTGAAATATACCATACAAGAAAAAAATCTTCAATTCCTCATGCTTGTGTTGTTTCTTTTGCAGGGACCCGAGATTTGTACAAAAAAAAAGAAAAAAGACAATGCAACAATTGGTACAGCCCCAAATCGCATCTCAAGGAAAAACCACCAGAGAATTGTCTCCGTTCTAGATCCGTCATTTAAAGGTATAACAACAAAATCTATTCTAATTGGATGATTTCGTGGTGAAAGGGTAGGAAGAATAAGTGGAACTCTTGATGTATTTATAACCTTCCATGTAGCTATTAATATGTGAATGCTAAGCAGTCTAATGCATGACTCACTAAAGCTATAATCTCCACTGAGCTCCTCTTTTATGTTCTTGTTCAGTAAGATCAACAGTTCGAAAATCCATATAAAAATTCATGCATGTTCATTTTGGATCTGAAGAGCAAGGACACTGGAAATTTCAGATCCATAATTTTTGAAAGGTATAAAACCTGAATTTAATCTATAGAGATTAAAGCCCTAATGTTGAAGTAGTAAAGTATTGGAGCATTGATCTGATGGCAAGTATGGTTGCATGGAGCTACTAGTATTATATATAGCAGCATGGAGCTACAAAATCTGTGGTCTTCGACAAAGGCAAGCACGGGAACGCATCATGGCAGCTGCTAGTATTATACGCAAGCATGGAGCTCTGATTAGTATTATATGTAATTGTTAGTTTTTTTATCTTCATCTTGTAACTGGTTCTCTAATAGCTTTGTACGTACTTGTTTATATGAAATAGAATGCATTTAACAAGAAATTCTACACCCAAAGACCTCAATTGAATTCTTGAATAAATTAATTGAAATTTATTATTTTGGTTATATAATTTTTTTTAGGTACAATTAATTGAAAACGAATGCAGAGACAGATTTCCAAATATTTTTATTACTATTAACAAAGGTGGTGTCGGTTAAAACCGTTACTAGTTTGCATATTTTATTTATTTAATTGTTATCTGACGTCGGTTAAGGGATATTTTATTTGTTTAATTTTATCACGATGTTGGTTAAAACCGACAGTAGGTTGAATATTTTATAGTTGAATTACTAGTACACGTCGTTTTAAACCGACGTAATGTTGAAGTATGCGTCGCTTTAAACTGACGCAATGTTGAAGTATGCGTCGCTTTAAACTGACGCAATGTTGAAGTATACGTCGCTTTAAACCGACGTCAACATTAGTGTCGCTTTTAACCGACGTTGTGTAGTGGCGGATTAAGCGAACAAACCGACATTGAAGCCCTTTCGTGATGGTAGCATTAGCGTCGCTATTATAATCTGACATTACATTGTTTTATGTCAGATTTTTGCCATAGTTCCGACAAAAATTGGATTTCTTGTCGCTTTTTGCTTCGCCGGTGATAGCCTATATTGTAGTAGTGTTTATTTAATAAACACCAACATCCGTTTTGTTTCATAGCTGGATTAAATACAAACGTTAGTAATATTAGTTTTTATCTGGCTCGGTTGCCTGCAAATTGCCTGACTGGAAATGGATGGACCATACCTTAGGCCAAAAGTAAGGCTAAAATTGTTAGCGAGTCACGGTCAAGGTCCCTCCTGAAAGTTGACAGAAGGTGCTAAATTGGTCACCTTTTTGTACAAGAATCTGAAACCGCAACTTATGATAGGAGCTTCCTTCAAACTCTTTGGTGATGATATGTATGGAGTTTTATATTGCATATAATCAGCATTTTGCTAGGACCATGAAAATGGTACCGAACATCCACCTTTATTTACTGAAGTGAACTTAGATAAGCACGGTCAGCAATTCCAGAAAGACCCCAAACCCGACTGGCCGATTCACATGAAACTGAAACATTAAGGTGGCGGTATTCAAAACTTATCATGCAATGCCATGTGGTATAAGGTAACACATGAGGCAATGCGTGATTTCTTAGCGTGTATGTTTCATGTCAGTCTCTCGCTTTTATAAGGCTTCCATGCACCTAAGTCACCGCGTAAGTTTCTCAAGTCATTCGCAGATAATGGTTTCAAAACTCGTAGCGAAGTGCGGGCAACTTTTCTAGTTCTCATTGAAATTTTCAAATCCAGGATCGTTGTGTTTTTAAATTAATTGTACATAAGATATAAATCTCACATTAAGAATGTTGATTTCTTTACCAACAAGGCAACAGTAAAGATGAAAGAACATTGTAATTAAAATTATAAAATAATAGTAAGAAGTAAAAAGGTTGAAATTATAGATCATTATTATATATTATGGTTGAAAGTATGAGAGGTAAGTTTTTGAGATATTTCTTTGGTAAAATAGCACAAACACTTAATAAACACAGACGACATATACAGTAACAACTTACCAAGTAAGGAGCTAATCGACAAGTAGATTCTAGCAGAGGAGGCTTATGAAGGTTCACTCCCATTAGTCCCATCTGCTGGAACTTACATCTCATAATACATAACATTTCAAAGAGAAAATTGACTGCTGAGCACGCTGTATTATTCTTCGAAATCATTTCAAGGCGTCCACCTTTGGTGTATGTGAACATGTCTTCGATGAGGACCAAATCTTTCCTCCAGCTGAGGGAATATCTTAACAAGGATTTTATACATAGTTTTGTAATACCATTTACTCCATCTCTTGCACAATACTAGTGATCCAATAGCAATTCCCAAGCCAACAATAAATCCAACTTCAGCACCAATCAGATCCCAATCAATTCCGTGTGCCGAATTTGAATGTTTGCCTTCTAATGTTGGTGAAAACCTTGCCGATCCGTCATCTTTGTTACCTAGCGGTAATGGTGGCCCATATAATCCTTTATTGCCAGAGAAAGAATCTGCTGAAAAAGATTGAATCTGAGTGCCGGTTGGAATCTTCCCGACTAGTTGATTGTTCGAGAGATCCAGGAATGAGAGGAAATTAAGTTTGGACAACTCTGATGGAATTGTTCCGCTCAATCTTTTGTTCGAAATGTTTAAGGACTCAAGATGTCGTAGGTAACCTAGGGATGATGGGATTGCGCCTGTGAAACTATTGTTGGAAAAGTTGAGGCCAAAGAGTGATTTCAGCTCTCCCACTTCCTCAGGTATTGATCCACTAAATTTGTTGCATGAGATGTCAATGTAGCAGGTGAAAACAGTTAGAATTTTTACCAACTCCATTTCAGACCTTTATTGGTAATTGTTATAGAATCCTGATAATATACCTGATCAAAGTTTAGAACTTGAAATCGAACGTGATTCATCTTTGACACGGCATCATCTTCTTCAGCCATGATTGCTTTCCTGCTTTTCAAACCAAAGACTGGTAATTCACCAATGAAATTGTTGCGAGCTATGTCAATAATTGGAAGCTTTGGCCAGGGAACACTGGGCTTGAAGCTGCTGCAATCAATGCAACTATAAAATTTGTTGGAATGCAAGACAAGTACACGCAAGCTGGATATGCTCTTCAATAAGCACGGAAAGACATCTCTTATCTGATTGTTTCCCAGGTGTAACACCTCTAACATTCTGCAATTGACTAGACACTTTGGGAACTGACCACCGATCACATTGCCATTGAGGTCTAGACTTTGTAGACTACATTGCTCAGGAAAATTATCGAGAAGAGTGCCAGAAAGTTTGTTTCTCCTTAAATTAAGTACTGCAATATACCTGTTCCTTGCAGTTAAGCACTAGGGAATCATGCCACTTAAGAAATTATTGGACAGATCAAGAACTTGAAGATATGTCACACGACATATTAATGCTGGAATGATCCCGTGGAAGTGATTGCTTGCAAGAGAGAAGAACACGGTGTACATAAGGAAATCACCAAAGTCAGCCAGAATGCTAGAGCTGAACTTATTTCTTGAGTAATCTAGATAAGTGGCCAATTGTGGAAGCATTGGAATTGGTCCCTTAAGCTGGTTGGAATGAAGGTCAAGCACATACAAATTAGAAGTAATATTGAGGAAACGACCTTCTAGAGTTACCAGAGAGTTGCAAGAAAGATTTAGTTGACTAAGACTACTCAACTTCCAAATCCTGTAGGATATTTCACCATGAATCTGGTTTGAGGAAAGGTCCAAGTGCTTAATTTTGATTGATTTCTCAAGAAATCTGGAAATGTTCTCAACTTTCCAGAAGACAATTTTAATGTCGTAAGTTGAGGAAATGAAGAATAAGAGGAATTAGGATCGACATAAGTAATCAACAAGTTGTTGTATGACAGATCAAGACCCCAAAGATTTTTCAGTTGTTGAAGCTCATTAAGCGGAAAGGACCCACTGAAGTTGTTTGAAGAAAGTGCGAGTATTCTAAGCTCTCGTAGATTAAAGACTGACACGGGTATAGGCCCTTCCAAACTGTTGTTACTCAAATCAAAGGTGTCTAGGGAACAAATATTACCAAATTCTGGCAACTGACCAGAGAAGTGATTGTTGGAAAACTGTGGCTTTTACAGCAAGGGAAGGGAAAACAGAGATGGCGGAATAGACCCATCTAATTGATTGGATCTCAAGTCGAGATTCATCATATTAGTCAGGTTTTCCCAGTGAGTGGAATTAAACTGACCCCGTTAGCTGATTGTTAGAAAGATTGATCAGGGTCAGATTTTTGGCCATACTGAAGGATGGAACTGAACCATTGAACTTGTTTAATGACAAGTCAAAATAAACCAATTGATGAAGGTCTTTTATCGACCTTGGGATTGATCCAGTGAAATTGCACCGTGAAATATCTATATTGGACAACATTTTGAGGTTGCCAATAGAGTTCGGTAGTAACCCTGAAAAGTTAACCCCACTTAGAACCAAGGACTGGAGAGATGCGTTCTTTGGAAATTCTGGTAAGGAACCCTGAAGCTGTTGATTGCCTGATAAATCAATAGTCTGCAGCGTAGGTACCTGGAAGATTTTCTTTGGGAATGCACCATATAATCTAGAATTCCTGAGGAGTAAGGAAGTCAGATTTGTGAATTTTGAGAAGAATTCTGGAACTTGAGTAGACGCATAATTGTTCTCTATCCAAACAACTGAAAGCGATTGAAGCTTCAGTAATGAACTATCAATAAGACCTGAAAGATTACAAGTTGATAATCTCAACACTCTCAAGTTTGGGAGTGAAGATGATATCGCTTGGCACCACTTGCTCCCCTGTGCTGATATCCTTACATCATCAAGATAAAGTTCGGCAAGCTCAAAAATGTTCCGAATGAGAAGATTCAAATTCGGATTCTCAAGATTCAGTGAAGGGGTTCCGGGAAAATAGAAGGTAGACAAATCAAGAGTTACCGACCTCATAAGGTGTGAAATCTCAATTGGAACGTGCCCTGCAAAGCCAGCATTCGACAAGTTCAGATTACTCAACCTCGTAAGGTGTGAAATCTCAACCAGAACCTCGTGTTGTTGAAGAAGTTGTAAGCCAAATTCAGGTTCTCGATTGACTTCAGACCAAAAAGAGAACTCGATTATTAAGTCCACCAGTAATCGCCTCAATGCTCAAGTCCAGATTCGAAACACAACCCTTTTTGCAGGACACTCCTTCCCAAGAGAAATAATCCGAGCCATTGTTCCACTTCACTAGTTTTTTAGATGTTTCAGGGTCAAATGTGAGGTTGCTCTTCAATTGTAGCAACAAAGATTGCTGATCGCTAGGACATTGGCTAGAGACCACAAACGTCTGGAAGCTGAGTGAAACATAGCATATGCAGATTAAGAAAAGACATGAAAGTAGAGGAGTTTTCATCGGAAGAAGTTGCTGATATGTGACACCAAATGTAAGTAAGGAACAGCTTATGCAGGTCCCTAGTTATTCTTCTTTGCTAGTATGCTCTGTTTTTTTTGGCGGGAATATAAAGAGCAATTTGGTCTTAGCGTGTTGAACGGGCAAGAGAATAGAGTGTTGAACGGGCAAGAGAAAAAACAAAGAGCTAGAGGGAAAATCTCTTAGGAGTGAGTTCTTGGGAAATACTTTGAAAAGGTGTACAAGGGTTTCTGGTTTGGATTATGTCAATTTAACTCAATTGTATCTTGTAATATTGTTATTCTCGTAGTGTAGAGTAATATCTCTCCAGGGACGTAGATAGGATTTTGTCGAATCTATCTTTATTTCTTTGTCTATTTTTCTTTTATTCAACTGTGGTTTGTTTTGGTTTGGTTGTAATTTGAATCTCGGTTCGGCATGGCCTAGCACATCATCTACACATGTATAACCATTTCATCTCCCATTTTTCTTTATCTCGATTACAAAAGGTGAAAACCAAAAACAAAAAATTGAAACGATTTTCAAGCTCCAAGAGACCATTTAATAACCATTTTGTTTTCTTTTTTTCATTTTTATCGAAATTATATACTGGTAACTGTTATAAATAGAAAAGTTAGAGAGCTAACCTTCACTAGGAGAGAAGCGGGTGCAAGATATTACACTATTTAGTTTCGTAACTATAACACAAAAGATTGCAGGAAAGAGAAAATGAGGGATATTGATATTATTGCTTTCACTTCTTTCTTTTTAGTTGTGTAGGAATTACACATGGAGTGCTCTTTATATAGAGCCACATCCGTGACAAAAACAAAGTGAGGTGATCGCTCCTATTGAAAATTTCATATAATGGCAAGCTACTACTATAGTCTTTTTGAAATCTTCAGATACTAACAAGCTAATGTTGTAGCCTTTTTGAAATCTTCAGATACCAACAAGCTAATGTGGGCATTCACTTTCATAATTTTACAATGCTCACCCTTGGATGCCCACATATCAACATTAGTTGCCTAATTAAAACCTTGCTCGGAAAAACCCAGTGGGAAAAAATCGTAGCGAAGGAAAAAGAGTACAACTTTGCTTAGATTGTTGATATAGTGTTAAGTATGCTTATGTTGCCTTGTTAAAACCTTGATAGGAAAAATCTTACTCAAAGGAAAAAGAGTACAACATGCACGTATCATGGATGCTCCCCCAGATATGTATCTCCCCCTGATTCCGCATTCTTCAAGTTTGACTGATTGGTAAGTCAATGTAATCTGATATTATGCACTAGTTTCTGAAACGTGCACCTTGGTAGAGATTTGGTGAATAGGTCTGTCGGATTTTCATTGGAACGGATTTGTCTGACTTCAATAACCTTAGCCTTCTGAAGCTCATGTGCACTAAAAAACTTTGGAGATATGTGTTTAGTCTTATCACCCTTGATGATTTCTTCCTTCATTTGGGCAACACAGGCTACATTATCTTCATGAATGACAGTTGGAGTGTCTGTCTTTAAAGGTAGACCACATGAATTCCGGATATGATGGATCATTAATCTTAACCAAGAACATTCGCGACTTGCTTCATGTAAAGTAAGTATTTCCAAGTGATTAGAAGATGTAGCAACTAATGTTTGCTTTGTTGAGCGCCATGAGATTGTTGTATCTCCATTAGTGAACACATATCCAATTTGTGAGCGGGTTTCATGCTGATCAAAGAGAAAACCGGCATCTGCATATCTAACAAGGATCTGATCATTTGTTGATTTCTCTTAGTAGAATAGACCCATGTCTGTTGTCCCACGAAGGTATTGTAAAACATCTTTAACTCCCTTCCAATGACGAATTGTTGGAGCAAAGTTATACCTTGCCAACAAGTTAACTGAAAAAGTTATTTCTGGTCTAGTACATTGTGCTAAATACAATAAAACACCTATTACACCCAGATATGGTACTTCTGGACCAAGAACCATTTCGTCATCTTCTTTTAGATAGAATGGATATTTCTTAATATCCAAAGAACGAACTACCATTAGCGTGCTGAGTGAATAAACCTTGTACATACCAAATCACTTAAGGATTTCTTCAATGTAAGCTAATTGATGGACCAAAATTCCATTAACACGATACTAGATCTGCAGGCTGAGATAATATATTTTTTTTGCAATGTCTTTCATTTCAAATTCGCTTTTTAAATATTCAGCCGTTTTATTGAGCTCTTCAAGGGTTCCAACTAAGTTCATATCATCGACATATACTGCCACTATAGCAAATCCAGAATTTGATTTCTTAATGAACACACAAGGGCAAATGACATTGTTGATATATCCTTCTTTGATCAAATACTCACTAAGATGATTTTTCCACATTCATCCAACTTGTTTTAGCCGATATAATGATCGCCTTAATTTGATTGAGAGCATACCTCGTGGTTTGTTCGTCATTTCAGGCAACTTAAGTTCTTCTGGGACCTTCATATATATGTTAGTATCTAATTCTCCATATAGATACGCAGTGACAGCATCTATAAGTCGCATGTCAAGTTTTTTTTCTGAAACCACCAAACTTATTAAGTAACGAAATGTAATTGCGTCCATTACAAGAGAGTATGTATCCTCATAATCAATTTCAGGTCTTTGTGAAAAACCTTTTGCAACGAGTCGTGCTTTATATCTTGCAATCTCATTTTTCTCATTGCACTTTCTTATGAATACCCATTTGTAACCCACAAGGTTTACACCAGGCGGGGTTTGGACTACCGGTCTAAAAACAATTCGTCTTTCTAAGGAATTTAATTATACCTGGATTGCATCTTTCCACTTAAGAAATCTTGTCTCTATTTGCATTCATCAACAGAGCAGGGCTCAGTATCATCGCTTAATATGATTTCAGTGGCTACTGCAAATACGAACATGTCGTTGATGATTATATCATTTCGATCCCACAATTCATTAGTACATGCATAATTTATAGAAAAATATTTGCTTTTATGTACTTCTGTCTCTTTAGGGACATGTGTCTCATTAAGGACATTTTCTTTTTCAGAATCATGAATTTTGGATTTGTCATTCACTTTCTTTTCCTGAATGATTTGATTTGGATTCAGTTGTGCCATCATCTTTCTCTTTTGAGGGGCTAAATATTTTGAACCTGGGGGTCTACCACACTTCAGGCGTGCACCAGATAAATCATTCACTGCCACTTTATTTTGTCCCATAGGGACATCAATTCTTGCAGGCACATTTGCAGCAGGTAGATGTGATTTTGTTACTTTCGTAGCATCATTAAATGCATCTGGCATTTGATTAGCAATACTTTGAAGTTGAACGATCGTTTTCACTTCATTTTCACATTGAGTGCTTCGTGAGTTAAAATGAGATAAGGTGGGTACAACTCATGTTAGCTTTTGCCGTTCTTCTAGAACAGTCTTTTCTCCCTCCTAACGACGAGAAGACTGTCTCATCAAAGTGACAATCCGCAAAACAAGCTGTAAACATATCACCTATCAAGGGTTCCAAATATCTAATGATATATGGTGAATCAAAACCCACATAAATTCCTAGTCTACGTTGAGGTCTCATTTTAGTGCGTATTGGCGGTACAATAGGCACATAAACAACACAACCAAAAACTTGTAAATGTGAAACATTTGGCTGATGCCCAAATACGAGTTATACTGGGGAGTATTGGTAGTTGGCTATAGGTCTCAAAAGGACCAATAATGCTGCATGTAAGATGGCATGTCCCCATGTAAAAACTGGCAATTTTGTTTTCATGAGCAGAGTGCGGGCTATTAATTGAAGCCGCTTGATAAATGTTTTTGCTAAACCATTTTGAGTATGGACATGAGGAATAGGGTGTTCAACATCAATGCCTAGTTTCATGCAGTAATCATCAAATGTTTGAGATGTAAATTCAGCAGCGTTATCAAGTTGGATTGACTTAATAGGGTAATCTGGGAACTATGCTTGCAACTTAATTATTTGAGCAAGAAGTCCCGCAAAAGCAACATTTCAAGTAGACAATAGGCAAACATATGACCATCGAGTAGATGCATCAACCAAAACCATAAAATATCAAAATGGTCCACAAGATAGTTGAATAGGCCCACAAATATCCCCTTGAATTCTTTGCAACAATGATGGGGATTCAACATTAATCTTTAGTTGTGATGGTCTAATTACCAACTTCCTTTGGTAACAAGCCATGCAAGGGTTATCATTTGATATAGCAATGTGTCTACTCAATAATGGATGTCCATTAGAGTTGGTAATGATTCTACGCATCATGGTAGCTCCTGGATAACACAAACGGTCATGCCAAAGCATGTAAAGTTTTGGATCAATGAACTTTTGGTTCATGATAGTATGTGCTTCAATTGTCTTTATGTATGTATAGTACAATCCACTCAATAAACCACGCACCTTCTCCAATGTACGCTTCTGGGTATCATTAGAGGTAATGCGTATATATTCCATATTTTCTGCACTTTTCGTTTCAATGTGGTATCCATTTAAACGTATGTCTTTAAAACTTAACAAATTTCGAGTGAATCGAGTAGCATACAACGCATTTTGTATGGACAATATTGTTCCATTTGGTAACATGATCTGGGTTTTTCCTGAGCCTTCAATTATATCTGATTGGCTTTATATAGTTGTTACCTTTACTTTTGTAAGCATCAAGCTTGAGAAATATTTCGATCTCGAAGTATTGTATTCATGGTTGGTCTTGTTTTGAGAATAACTATTGTTTTTATCCATGCTTTCTGAGTAAGGGAATCATACTTAAAAAACAATTTATTCATAATGAAATGCCATATT